TCCCACCCTCCCTCTCTCTCTGCTAAAATAAATTAATTATAGTAACACAAGATAGACATACCACCCAAGAAAAAAGACATACTACCCGAGATGATCAGTAAGTAGGCTAGGCCTAGCAGCAGCCTTGCATTGTAACCAATGTAAACTACCACTCGCTCAGCGAGCCAATCACAATCCAACATTTTTGGGGTCCACCTAGACACCATGACTACGTAGACCCCAATCGGGGAGTACGTAGACACTTCCAAAATCATTTTTAAATCTCTAAAATTGCAAAGAAGCTTTACAAGTTCGGATGAAGGTGAGTAAATGGCTACCAACCTGTCTCCGGCCAACATCAGTCAACTTCAGTCCATTCTCAGTCTCCACGCACTCAGGCAAACCCCCTGATTCCTCAGCCAAATAAAGAGACTCGTCCGCGATAGATGCGTTCGGGGGGACAGACACGCTGCTAGGACGTGGCAACTGAGGCACATACAAACATACACATGTAATAAACACACATGCATTAAATAAATATGCAAATGTATTATTAACATACACACATGTATCATAAACACACATATATGCACAATAAATATACACACATGTATAATAAACAAACACCTACACACACACACATATAACAACAAGTAACCACCATGTCTTATATGTTTCTGTTATGTTCACTGCCTTCTCCCGAAAATAAACAATACTCTTCCTCAGCCTTATGCATTATCTCCAAAAGATATAAATAACTTTATCCAAAAAAATACAATCCAAACTCATGCAACACTGTCTACTGCTACAGATATACCCTTATTTGGATGCCTTTTAGCCCAGGATAGGGAAAGGTGGGAAATGTTTGTTCGTGGCCTATATCCTGATCCAGGATAAGTAAGGCAATGATGACGATGATGATGACGGATGCCTTTATTTATCTTGTTTTCACTGAGAATATGGATACAGGATAACAAAACTGAAGTTAAAAAATAAACCCAGTGCCTTTCTAATGGACGGCCTGCTTGCAACACAAATAGGTCATATAAGTGCCAAAGACAAGCGGGTGTTACCAGAGAGTAAAATACAAAGAAAAGAAGGGGAAGAGATAAGGAAGATACATCTTTTATTTTTTATTTTTTTATAGTAGAGGGTTTTACGGCGCTCGCAACTGCATAAGGTCATATGAGCGCCAAGGGGTGAGTGTCAACAGAGAAGTCTTTACAGGGAATCAGACTTAGACTGCTCACCTCTCTAGCTTCAACAGCACAAGGTCTGCTTCGACTATCAAGGCACCTCGGAAATAGCCGGTCACAAGAGAGTGGCAAACATACAAAAGAAGTAGAGGAAAATGACAATAGTAAGGATCAGGAAAGAAAAAGCAGCAGTTCCCTGTTGTAGATCAGGCACAGTTATGAGCGTGACATGAGTCAGCCCATTTACAATTCTACAATTCTACTATGCTTGAACGAGAAATGTCCCCCCTTTGAGAATGGCTTACAGACACTACAGTCAGTGGTACTGCCCTGGGGGGTTATACATCTTTAATCATAAAACCAGGAGCAATACACAGCACAGCACCCATCAAACATTCACCCATCAAGTGTTTGAACTGCACCGCCGTCAAAGTTTAGCTTACCGAGAAAACACCACAAAAGTTGTGAATGGCGTGCTCCAGATGGCCGGGTAAGCGTTTCTGCTCAGCCAAGGTGTTGTAGTCGCTCTCCCCTGAACCGCCTGCCCCGAACAGCGAGGCGAAGAATCCCACGTTCTTCTGCGCTCTCCCGTCCGCCACACTGGCCGACTGTTTTTTCCTGACTATGTCCAGAGACTCTGTCAGCTGTTCCACAATGCGCATCATCTGGGGAAAAGCCATGACAATCGTAAAATAAATTTTAAAATAAAAGGTGTTTGTTTTGTCTTTCTAATTTGTTTAGTTTCAGTAAGAGTTTTAAAGCACTTGCAACACAATAAGGTCATATAAGTATATAAGTGAAGAAGGTTAGAGGAGTCACAGGAGAGTAAAAAACACTAAAAGAAAAAGGAGAGAGAGGAACCATAGATGTTTGATAAGACAAGAGGAGCAAACCACTCTAGAGTACCTGCCGAACACCCACGTTTTGTCTTTGTACCACGAATGTTGCTCCCAAGTAGACACTAATAATAGTTGAACCTGCTCCAGCTACCACCTCTCCAAGACAACCACCTGTGCAAACCACCACTTCCTACTTCCCCCCTTACATTTTTTTCTTTTTTATAATGACACTGTCATAGAAGACCACCAGTCTAAGACAACCAATTTTCTTTTCAACAACAGCTGGTCATCTTGGACAGGTTCCACAGTAAATATTTCTGTAAGCTGAGAACTAGGCCCTGTCAGAGACTGCTGAATGAACTGCCATAATCGGACAAAAAGCCAAAACTTTTTATTTGCTCAATCAAAAACCTGATCAGTTACTCTACTTATGTGAAAAAAATCAAAAGTGAAACTGTGACTAGTTCTTTTAATAAATTAGTATTCAAATTTCAGAACCACTCTCACTCTATTTTTAAATGGTTACGCTGACCAAAAACGTTTTTGACAAATCTGCTGTGGGGAAAAAATGGGTTTTGTCAGCTTACAGCAGTACAGAAAAGCTCATCGCCACATTAATAATCATCAAATGCACAGACAAAAAGCCAGACTTACAAAAAGAAACACACAAAAGGAAAGTAAAGAAGTAGGACCTACTTGTGGTGTCCTCCTACTACTGTTGTAAGAGTAAAGGAAAAAAAAAAAGAAACATGTCCCAGAAATATTGCGAATAAACCAGGGTAACTTCACATCATTTACACAGGGTGGCCAGGGAAATTTTCCTCCTAAAAATCCTACCACACCAAAAAAATCCTACCACTATAAGTCAAGCTGTTTCTTGCCATTGTCAGTGTTACGGCTCTCATCAAAGAGAATCACGTAGAAGGAGCTATTTCGTACACATCTTAGGATAGCCGACTACATCACTGGGGCAATCCCAATTAATGTTCCAAGGTAGCCACGTTTTGTGCAACTACACTGAAATCTCAGTTATAATTTTTCAGCCTGAAAACATTTCCTGAATGAGAAGACTCGTGTCAACAACTGCTCTAGTTGATTACTATTATATTACTGTTGGTGCTCCTTTCAGTATCTCTCACAACACTTGCTCTGTTCTTGGTTACCTTAAGAATAGACTTGGCACCACACTGGCTAGTTTTTGGGCTTTCGTGTGTTTTTGAGGTACCATGTGCGTGTTCAAAGCTTTTACACCTGAATGACGGATGACAAATACTTGGGAACAGAATTTTCATCTAAACTTGCTGTTATCATTTGGATACTCGATCAATCATTCTGAATACTTAGGGTTGGACAACCACTCAGTGTTGATGAAGTAGCACTTTCCCATGATGCTGGATCTAGTCTAGATCTCTCTCTCTAATAATAGTCTACACATATATAGTCACAAAAATCATAAGAAAAATAAGTCTGTTTCTAGCCTGGGTTTCAGTATGCCAAGTGCCGTCAATCTTCTACTCTCCAAAGACTATCTTGCTGAGTTTTTCCATGGTCAAACGACTATCACCCATCCAATGACACGCCATGCTATGCAGAAAGCTCTCGTTGCAATCAAAATTCTAAATGCTAAATGCTAAAATTTGCTACCAAGTTCAGTTTTTCCCCCTGGTGTTGCCTTTAACCCCCCACCTCACCCCACCCCACCCGAGTGTATCTTTTTAAAAAAATTATTAATCCCGCCATCCCGGAGTCCTATACTTCACAACGCTCAGACTTAGAATGAACTTTAGTGACCCTAACATTCGCGGTACTCACTCGACGCCCTTTCATCATATGTGTGACATACAAATGCGCAGGTTCAGTGACCGGTCACGACGGCGAGCCCGACAAGACGCTTGTATAACTTTCTTTTCTTTTTACACAAGTGACGAATATTGATTTATTTTCATAGCGACACAGCCTTTCTAATGCACAAACTGCATGTTACAACAATGTTGTATTATCAGACTTTTACCGGCAAATTTCAGGGTGGTAGTGAAAGCAAAAGTAGACCTAGATTTTCCCGATCGAGCCTCGGCATCACTCGTACACTTCCGCTTGCCGCCATAGCTGCCTTTTCGCATGAAACTTACTCTCAGACCGGGAAAAGCTGAATGATCGCGACCGACAAAATGAACTTAGGGACGTTATCGGATTTGGTTTCCAAATATTCGAGAACTTTTATGTATTTTCCCGGGTCTTTCCCGAGGCAATTTAAAGATTTCCTCAAATTTCCTTTTATTGCCGACGTTTATCCAACCATTGCCGTCGGAACAAAATTTTTCCGACAAAAATCCGACTTATTCGACCTAAACAAGAATTTCCGACCAATTTCCGACTTCCCTGGCCACCCTGTTTACAATAAGCTTTGTATGACCCATGGAAACGGAATTCCAAGAAAAAAAATGGGTTTTAGTTTTATACAACAGGCAAAAAAAAAAAGTTTTAATCAGAGGATTCTAATTAGAGTACTAGTCAAGTATGCAAATAAGATTTACTGCTTTTTAAAATCGTAAAACCTGTCTTAGATGCCTACACACTGTCGAAGAAAAAATGGTCACCTTTGACAAATTCTCCTCTTAGATATTGCCATTGCCATGCAGAAAACAACACAACGGGGAAGTAGGAAGTGGTGTTTTGTACAAGCAATTGGTTGTCTTGGACAGGTTGTCATTGGAGCAGGTTTGACTGTATTACTATGCATTCGGTATTCTTTACCCTTGAAAATATCCCCTAACATTCCCTCCCAGTCACAGCATCTGTGGGGTAGAGGTTAGGTGCTTCACTGTCACACGCAGGAGACCCGAGTTTGATTCCTAAGAGGAAAGAAATTTTTATCGAGAATCTTGGTCTTTATGCTGGGAGGTTGTATCCCTCTCAGCCCGAATTGGCCCTGACAGGCAGAGACCAAAGCCTATCTCCTAAACGAATCTAAATTGTTTCAATGGTGGTGTAAAAACACCCACATTTTTTTTAAAAACCAATATCTAAAAGAATTGTTCATGTAAAAATTGTGTCTGAATCATCATTCCCTTTCAAACAAAACAATCTGATAGACCTACATTGTACTTCATGGCGTCGCTGAAGAAGGGCATGTACATAAAGTTGGGTCCTTCCAGTTCTATGAGCTGTGAGGGCGGGGCTATGGCAGACACTTGGAGGGCGTGGCCTGACAGGTAACTCCCACCCAGGTCAACGGGCCGGGACATGGGACCAAACAACTCTTGTTCAGCTGGGGGGCGAAAAAAGCAATAATGATGATAATAATGATGATGATAACATGACGATGATAAAAATAATAATGATAATACTAAAATGATGATGATGACAAAATAATAAGAATAAGAATAAGAATAATAATAATAATAATAATAATAATAACAACAACAATAACAACAATAACAATAAAAATAATAACAATAATAATAATAATAATAATAATAATAATAATAATAATAATAATAATAATATAATTTGATATGCAGCATTTGTACAGCCGGGACATGGGACCAAAATACTCTTGTTCAGCTGGGGGCGAAAAAAGCAATAATGATAATAATAATAATTATGATGATAAAATAATAATGATAATAATAATGATGATGTCAAAATAAAAACAATAATATTAATAAAAATAATAATAACAATAACAACAACAAAAATATAATAATAATAATAATAATAATAATAATAATAATAATAATATAATATTGATACACAGCATTTGCACAGCACAACCCTCAGCTAAGAACAGGTTGTATGCACTTTACAACGTACATCATTATCCCAGCCGACCCTAGAATACTCAGAGACATTCTTGGCTTCCAGAGAAGCATACAGCTCAACCGGCTAATTAAGCGCTCAAACACTAACAAACTGACAAGATTTTTCGGTTTATATAGTGTAGCTGGGTAACCATTCCAAGCTGAGTGAAGTAATGAAAATTTGTGAAAAGTACATTTCCCAAGGACACAACATCGGGCCTCTTATGCAGTTCGCAACCAAGATCTTCCAATTGTGCGCCCAACAGTCTAACCACTAAACCTACATAGGCCCCAATTATTACAATGCTACATGCTGTTACTTTGGTTTTCTTCTTAAAGTATCTTAATTTGTTTTGTCTTAAAGTAGTGTTGTTAAGGCTTCACACACCCCATCCACACAGTAAAGAAGATTTAGGAGACTGGAAACTTCAACCTTAATTGTCGGAGCAAAATGACTCATGTTAATTGAAATTGTTACGTTTTACATCTCTGGTTTTTGTTTTAGTAAACTTTTTATTGCACTTGCAACACTAAATGATCAAAGAAAAGCCCAAAATTAGAGATGTTAGAATACAAGACGGTAACAAACACCAAAAAAAAAGAGAGATTAGGAGGATAGATGCTTGATAGGAAAGAAAGAGCAAATGACACCAGAGCACCCGCCAACCACCCGCTACATTTCTGGCCACATCAAAATGTATTGAAACCTTTGAGGCAAAAGGGAAGTCTAGTGAAATACCAACTTCAAGAGAAAACAGCAAGACAGACAGAAACAACACTGAAAAATAGAGAGAGAGAGGACCCAGCCAATACTGAAATATTTTCAAAAGATTAATCAAAACCTTTATCTAACAATGACACAACTAGAACAATCATCGTAGTCATCCGGTGCTGGGAACAAAAATAAGACAGACAGAAAGAAATAGAGAATAAGTAATGAAATAAAACCTACCAATAGCACCCTCCAGCCACCCCTAAGAACAAAATGAAAACAGCTCCTTACCTTTAAAAATGAGGTTGGGAAGATTTGGCAAATTCAGAATCTGAGAAAAGAAGAACATGAAAACAATTATCATCCTTTTCACTACTACTGAAGTGTCCAAATTATTTTTTATTCAAAACATCAAGTTATTACCACTGAAGGACACCAGTACATTGAAATTACTAATCCTTGCACAGTACAGGCTGCCTGACCTACTGCTCAAGGAGTACTGCACTGTGAAACTTGAACCAGACTTGGAATTAAAGAAAAATGAGAAATGATTCCACATTATCCAGAAGTTTATGCACAGTCAAACATGCTCTAGAGACCAATTGTCCAAAATGACCACTTCTCATCTCGCGTTTTTTCAATATAATAACACTGTCCAAAATGATCACTTGTCCAACACGACTGCGACCGCTACGTTTGATCAACCAACAGCCCCAATAACCTGTCCAAGACAACCAAGTAAATCCTTAATTGCATGACAGATTTTAAAAAATATTATCCCTCCACTTCTCCCCTCCCTCCATAAGGAAAAAATCATTTTAATAGCCTAACAGCAGTCCTAAGTACGCAATCAATTCCAGTTAGGACTTCAGAATGGTATAGGTTTAGTTTTTTTCCCCTTCATTTTCCTCCACCTGCTCAAGAAGACCACCCATCTAAGACAACAATTCTTCTCCTCAACCACGGTTGGTGTCTAGGACAGGTTCAACTGTACATACCATAACAAATAAAACATGACAGTGCCCAGTGTAGTGTTTGTGTTGTTCTCAAGATGATTCTGATAACTATCGCAAAACTACCCCTCTGAAGAATCTCTGACAGTCTAGTTGGAGAAAGTGAATCGTAACTATAGAAAGCATACATAAAACAAATGTCCCTAAAGGGACAAATGAATAGTAGCCTTCTTTTACCAAGCTTTTTTTTCTGTAACCCTATCAAAATGACGCCATTATATTAATATAACATTGTGCATGTTATGTTTTAGTACTTGTCATAGTTATGAAAAGGTTACTTTTATAGATTGTAGACTGAACACATTGTTACTTTCTATAGTTACGATTCACTTTATCTAACAAGACAGTCAGAAATTTTTCATGTGAGGGGTAGATTTGCGATAGTTATTAGAATCGTCTTGAGAACAACACAAACACTACACTGGGCACTGTCACGGCCACCATTCCGTGCTCCCTATAAGAAAAAGAAACTTCGATGCACTGATGCACATCATGAGCGCGTGTAAACGAAGACCAAAACACCAATCTCGCTATGGTCGAGTGTCTGCAAAACTTCTCCCCCCCAACTTTGATTTGGTTCCAAATAGAGTCAAATGGTGCGTTCCATATCGAAGCCAAATTCCATTAGGAGTGCCCGGACTTGGGTATAATACTACAAGCCCAAGAGAGACACTCACTCGGGACACCCTGTAGACCATGTAGGCGCTGTAGGCAGAGGTGAGGTCCATGCGGTGAACACGTGGCAGGAACTCCACCGTCAGCACGGTATAGAACAGCAGGTTGTCCTCCACAAACTCACACCTGCATTGAGAGAGAAAGAGAGAAGATGGTGAAATGGTTGAGGTTTATCAACACTGTTAGCTTATTTAAGAGGCAGGACCTCCGAGTTTAATGTCCATCTCCGAGAGGACAGAGCCAAATGGGAAATTTGCGTAACTGCATAGAGAGAGACAAGATAAGATAAGCTAAGATAAGATATGATAAGATAGATAAGGTAAGGTAAGGTAAGATAGATACGGTAAGGTCAGGTATGGTAAGGTTGGGTAAGGTAAGGTAAGGTAAAGTAAGGTAAGGTAAGGTAAGGTAAGGTAAGGTAAGGTAAGGTAGGGTAAGGTAAGGTAAGGTAAGGTAAGGTAACGTAACGTAACAAAAGGTAAGAATAGTAAGATAAGGTAATAAGATAAAATAATACATTTTTTGCCCCAGAGGGAAATTTTTCTTGGCTGTACAGGACTGTAAAAACACATGCAGTAAGTAGGTATACATAAAAATTAATTCATATATTACTCATTAAAATTCAAGATGAAAAGAAAAGTAAAGCCGACAAAATGCACATATCACATCAGTTGCATCATTCAAACTTCTTTTGTATCTTTCTGTCTTTGCATTTAATGGTACATATCTGCCACTGCATGATCTTACAATTTGTGTGGAAAGGGGGTGTGATGGGCTGGTTTTAATGCTGTTTATCTTTTTTATACATTTCATTAATTCTAGTAAAATCATATCCAGAGATCATGCTGGCTTTCTTAATAGTTAAATAGTAAGGTAAGTAACGAAGGTAAGGTAAGGTAAGGTAAGGTAAGGTAAGGTAAGGTAAGGTAAGGTAAGGTAAGGTACGGTATGGTAAGAATCATCCGTGCCATAGCAAATATCACTTTGTGGAGATGAACAAAATCTTATCTTATCTAACCTGTCTTTCTTCATGAGGGTGTGAGTTAGTGTTATCTTATCTATCTTATCTTGTAGAATGGGCCCATATCCACATGTTAGAACAAATGACACATTAAAACACATGAGAGCATAAGTGTGTGTGAGTATGAGTGTGTATGAGCATATGTATATATCGCGACCTCAGCGCTTTCTTGTCGTATCTCCATTTTTTTTTAAACAGTGAAAACAGTTCATAACAAAGAGTGAGCTTAAGAAGAAGTCACAATTTCAATGTTTAAAAAAATGGAGATACGACAAGAAAGCACTGAGGTCACGATGTGAGGCATTGTGGTGAAATCAAGCACTCGTCAAAATAATGAAATCGACGATATCTGCATTTTTCCTCCATTTTTTTCTCTTAATTTTTTGGGGGCTCAACAACTTTTATGTCCATTTAAAAACGTTTCGGGGTGGATTTTACCAAAAAACATTGATTAAAGGCACAACATATGTAAATATTCTGTTTTCAAGGACTCTCAAGCTTTGAAAATCATCAAACTTTGGCAGCCATTTTCTCTTTAACTTTATATCTGAAACCATGCGACCCCAAAAGATGGTCAAATGAACAAGCTTTAAGATGATACCATTAACTCTAGATGTCCAAAAAATTGACAAGCGCCCGATTCTACCGCGTCATGACACCTAGCAGCAGTGGCAGGTAACTCTCTCAGTTTGGGTTTGTGTGCCTCAGAGTTTATTCAAACCAAGGACAACCAGTCAGTCTCAATAGCTTTGTACAGTGCCTCAGGCCCATAAAAAGAGCAGTGAGCACTAGACAAATGCATTCTAAGCAAAGCATTATTATCATTACCATTTTAATCCTTCTTCTTCTTCTTCTTCTTCTTCTTCTTCTTCTTCTTCTTCTTCTTCTTCTTTTTCTTCTTCTTCTTTTTTTTTTATAATAATAATCATAATTATTATTTTATTTTTTTAATTATTATTATTATTATTATCATTATTATTATTATTATTATAATTTGTATGATTATGATTATGATAAGTATCATTCCACACACCATTTATCGTCCACTTGCTTGCCCTGCTCTGAGTCGGAGGGCTGGGTGTCCGGGCAGAGTCGTCGGGAAAAGTCCAGATAGCGCCAGGGCTGGATGTAGCTGAGCCAAGTCTCCAACACCTGGACAGACAACAGAATTTGGGGAGGGTTTCTTAACTGTAGATATTTTTACACCCCCATCAACACAATTTGGATAATTTTGGGTTGTTGTCTTTTTGGGGTTTTTTATTAAGTGTTTTAGAGCAATTGAAATACAATAAGGTCATATAAGTGCTGAAGACTACACGTGTTACAAGACAGTTTCAAACATCAAAAAGATGGAGGAGAGATAAGGACAACAGATGTTTGATAGGAAAGGAACAGACCACATCAGAGCACCCGCCAACCATCCACAACACAACAGATTAATTTAGATTGGGTGTAAAGAGAGTCGAGCACAATGACACAACAAAGTTCAAGCTTGGTGCAGGGAAATAGCAAGATAGACAGATGGAAATAATACAGAGGGGAAGAAAGGAAGTAGGACCTACCAGAGGCACATAAAGGTACAAGAACAAGAATTGACAAGCACCCATGCATACACGCACGCACGCACGCACACACGCACACACACACACACATATACACACACGCACGCACGCACACACACACATACACACACACGCACACACATATGCACACACAAACAGGTCAAAACACCCAAGTCAGTTTTGTTGATTATTTTTAGTAAGGGAACTAAAACACTCGCAACACAAATAGGTCATAAAAGCACGGTGTTACTAGAGAGAGTACTAACAAACATAGATGAGATTCATAAGAGATAAAGACGATAGACGTAAAGCACATAAGAAAGAGAAAACCACACCAGAGTGCCCACAAACCCCGGACACACTCTGGTGACAATGCCCAGCGACTCACCATTCTAAAGCAGGAGTCAAGAGGCCAACGGTCAAAGGCATGCCTGAGGAATGTGTACAGCTTCTTCTGGAGGATGTGAGGGATCACAGACCTAAGGAAAAATTGTTTGTTAGAGTAAAGAGACTGCAAAAATTTATTGTTAGAGCAAAGAGACAGCTAAATCCAGTAACCTGACTTCTAAGTGTTGCTAGAAAATAACCTAAGTGGACATGTATAATATAAGTGAGGCATAATACTGACATGAGGCGCTCGTCAAAATAACAAAATCGAAGAAACTGGCATACTTCCACTGGTTTGGCAACTTTTAACGAATTTTTGTATTTCGGCTCAACACCTTTAATGTCCATTTAAAAAGACATTTCTGTGTAGATTTTACTGAAAATCCTTGCTTAGAGGCACAAAAATTGTAAATGTTCACTTTTCATGGACTCTCAAGATATTTGAAAGTCACCAAACTTCAGCAGCCATTTTCTCGCTAGTTTCACCTGTGAAACCAGGTAACCCTCACCTCCATCGCAAATATTATAATAAAGAAGTAAGATGTGTATTTTGTTCGTCAAAGCCAAAGCAACTGAACTATCTTTATGATGTTACTAATAACTTCACATGCCCAAAAATTTACGAGCGCCTGATTCCATCCCGTCATGACGCATATGATTTCACCATGCTTTGTTGAAAAATGCTCGAGAACATTACCAGTGTACCTTGAACTTTCACTCAAAAGACACCAAACAAACGGCATAAGTAAAGCTTCATGCCCCGCCATAGACTACACAAGCCTATTTAAATCAAATTTTTGGTACCCCTGAAAAGCAGCTGGTGACAAATTTGTGGATTCTATAATATTGACAGCTGACAGTTTGAAATTCAATTGATATACGACTTTGACGTTTTAAGAAAGCTTTTTGTTCTAGGAGGCATTATACGTCATTTGCACCACAATTAGGTAATATAAGTGCTGTAACATGAAAGATGCTCAACTTTTGAAATTTGCAGATTTACAACAATGACATTATAATATATACCCCCCCC